CACACATTCCTCAACAACACACAGCCCTCAAAAAAGTGAGGGAATTTTAATTCTTTAGCACTGTGGATGGTTCTCTTTCCAGAGAGCTCTGCATCGGGATTCTTGAAGATTGGACCTATAGACGTACACACTCCAAGGAGAGCCACCCCCACACGGGGGCACGGTCCCACTCTGGGCGCCAGGTTCCTATTTGTACAGAAATTCACCGAACGGGATGGAGCAGCAAGCGTACAGTACTGGAGGTGGAGGGGATGAGCCCGCAAGGATGTCCCTGTCGCCCTGAGGGGCAGAGCTTTGGACCCAGAGACTGCCCATCCTGTCCCCTCTCTACTGGCACCCAGGTAGGAGGTGGCAGCTTGGTACCTGTTGTGGGAAGTTCTGTCTGCAGGGACCTCAGCAGGCTCCTCCGACGCTTCTCCAAGACCTTCTGGGGACTGTCGGGGTGTTGAGCAGAGGCAGGGCTCACGCCTTGCTCGGGCTGAAGTCATTGAGATGAATGGGTGGCCCTGGCTCAGCACCAGGCCCAGCTGCAGGCTTGTGGGAATTGGTGCGTCACTGGGGAATGCTGGGCCCAAGGCACCCGCTTCCCTCCAAAAGGGTCTGATTACATCGAGGGTTCCTGCCCATAAACTGAACTTGAGGTTACGTAGTTTTAGAAAGACTCAAACATACATCAAAAGGATCATGGCCCAAACATCAAGAGATTGGCGTGAGAGGGCTGCTGAGGGTTATTTTTGGGACAGGCCTTTCTGAGCAGCTGGCTGAAAAACAACGGAAATGAAAACAAGGAGCGGTTCCTGGAGGCCCTTGCTCTGTGCCTGGGGCTGGGGCCCCGGGGAGGCCAAGTGCCCCATGCCACTTCCCTGAATCCCTCTCTTCTGGGTGGACAACACCCAGCAGAAGGGGATGCCCTCTGGCGGGGACCCCTGCCATCTTGCCAGGGAAGGGGGAAGGGGACGAGGGGTAAAAAAAAAAAAAATCAATACCCAGGTCAACTATAGGCTCCACAGCTACGACTCCTTCCAGGAGCGCCACCTCCCCTAGCGAGAGACGGGGTTGCTGGCTCTCCCGCCACCGTCCCGACAAGCCCTGGCATCCCTCTTGATAATATTGCACTTTTCCTGTCTCTCAGATTGTTTTCATTTTCGATTGAGAATGCAAAGTATTTGGAGCGGGTAGGGGAAGTGAGTAACCTTAAAGAAATAATATATTAGTTAAATACAAAAACAGGAAAAGTAGGGGTTACTTTATCTTTTTTTCCATAAAAACAAAACAAACTACCAAACCAAGGTCTAAACTTAAATAGTTCTACACCTATTCTGCAAATACTAGTAATATGAAAATAATGCTTGACCGAAATTCCCTTGTCTTTTTTCCTTAGATGATAATAGTAACATGCCTTGCTGGGGAAAGCAATGGATATAAATGCCAGTAAAATATGCTGCTCTAACATCTGAAAGTGATTAAAACGATTCTATATAATGCCTTCGTCAAGATGGAGCATGGAGGAGGAAGAAAGAGGACCCTGTGGGGCTAGGCTGGGGGTGAACGGGGCTGAAGGCTGGCCAGAGGGCCCGGCCACAGCTGGGGCAGATGGCACACCTGCTGTTCAGGCTGCCCCCTCCAGCTCCCTCTTGCCACCCTCGGGGTCCCTTGGCCTAGTGGGTGGGAACAGCATGATGGGGCCAGGGAGCCCAGCCAGGCCCTTGTTACAAAGTGGGAGAGAGATGAAGACATCTTTTTCCCTTGTAATAAAAGAAAAAAGTCTTTAAACTGAAAGAAAAAGCACCAAATGATGCATCTTCGGGCATTATATAAACCTCAATAATGACCTCAGAAGGGCTCATTTTGATTAAAGTTGCAGTATACAGCAATACAACATCATTTCACATTTTCAATCGCAACTAATGGAAAACTAGGTTTGGACACTGCTGAGTTTTTTTTTTTTTTTTTTTAAACCTTTTAAAGTCCGATCTGGTTTTCCTCCAGATGGGTCAGAGCCACAGACCCCTCCCTCCTCTACCTGCTGCCAGAAGTACCCTCCAACATCACAAAGCAGCTCAGTAGCTCTAGGGAAAAGCCCTCTTGCCCTGGGCAGGGCTAGGAGTCCAGGGGCACAAGGCCTGGCATCCCCTGGCCATGTCTGAGAGGGACTGGCATGCACCCTTCTTGCTTCAAGTATTAATATTCTCTTTGGGTTTGCAGGGTTTGTGCTGTGCTGTGAGTAAGGGGGTGATGGTGAGGGGCAAGGGGCGAAGACGGGGCATGGCAATCCCTGTTCACTGCCCAAAGCTACATGCTGTCACCAGGTGGCAGCATTCTCTACTTTTCCTGGATGCCTGAGCAACCCCCAGCCATCCTTAGGGCTGGATGTCACATTGTAAACATGATGACCACACTATAAACTCTAGCGGGGGCTGGGGAGGAGTGCAGGGGTGGATGCAGTGGGGAGGTCTGCCGTTAACTAGCTATGTGATTTGGGGAAAGCTTAATTCCTGTCTTTGGGCTGCAGTAACAGGAGGGTATGGGATGGAGTGACCCTGAAGGTCACTTATAATGACTCACTTAAGGGCACTGGGGGTTAAAGAGAGAGGGTCCCTGCGGGGCTGGGAGAACATCTGCCTTGTGGGTGGTGGAGAGTCCCACAAGGCAGTGCAGTGAGGAAGGGCAGGGAAAGATAGGCTCTGGGGAGCACTGTGGTCCAGTCCGACTGAGATGCTCTGTGCTTGGCAGATGCGTCCTGCACTCCTTCCTGGCCTGGCTGGCGTGTTACTGATTGAACTGGCTCAGTGCAGACATTGAGGAGTGAGGCCGCTGGGGCCATCCCCCTGGAAGATAGCTACGTGGAAGGTCCTTTAACCCGACAATCACTCTACTTTTAAATTTTATTTTAAATAATCATAAATTACTTTTTTTTCTTTTAATAAATATGTGCTGCTTAAAAATGAGAAAAGTATATACTGCATCTTTAAGTAAAATGCACTTTGCTCTCTGGGTTTCTTTCCATTCCACCCTATTAAAGTGCATTAATTAAAAAATAATGAACCACTTCTTTATCATTATTGTTCAAACAAGTCCAAATAATATTAATAGGAAGACACTACAACGCTACCATTAGTACTGCAATCTAGCAGATAACATCCTGCTCTATTTAATACTGTCCAGCAGAAGAAAATAATAACTAATTTTAATTTTAAACAAACAAAACAAAAGGAAGCAAAATCTCACCACGGCCTTTTCAACATAGAACGGGAGCGGTTTGCTAGAGCTGCCAGGCGTCAGTGTACGGCGAAGGAGGAGGGGGCAGGGCGGCTGGGGGCTGAGGGCACGAGGCGCGGGTCCCCCGCTGTTCTTCAGGCATCATACGCTGCCTGGGGGTGGGGGTGGGGGAGTGTGGGCGGAGGGAGGGCCTTTCCTCCTTAGTCCAGGATCTGGCAGCTGAGTCGGGGGCTGTGAAGCCTGATCTGTCCACAATCAAAGGCACGTGTGGAAATCCACTCCCAGTGAAGAGTGAGTCCTTGGGGAAGCCAGCTTGGCCTCTGAAGTGTCGACTGAAAGACGCCACCCAGAGTTGACAGGGACGTCATTCTCTCCCTTTCTCTCTTCGCAGGGGCACCGCCCCTCGGAAAGACCAGGTTGGCTCCTGGCCCAGGGATCTTTGCCTCCTCGGGCACCTGCGGTATTGCTTGCAGGCCAGGGGGTGCCTGGTGGTGTCCGCCCAGCAGGTTCCCCTTGGCCCAGGGTGAGGGCGATGGCTGCTTCTCCACAGCCTTCGCATGAGGCTTCGGGCCCTGCCCAGGCAGGAGAACGTTCGCTGCCCCTCTCCTGAACACCACCCTCCTCCCTGCTGAGGGTTCTTCCCTGCTGAGGTTGCACAAGAACCAGGAGAACAGCGTCTCTGCTTTGCCACGGCCGGGACCAGGGCTCCTGCAGCCTGAGATCCCTCTGGCAAGCACCGGTACTCTCCACACAGTGGAAACCAAATGAAGCGACTTTGGCTTGTGGAGGGAAGAATGCAAAACACAAACCAAACAACCTCCCCACAAGAGTATGACAGAAAGGCCATCCACTACCCATCCCGTCCCGTGAGGCTGACCGCCCTTGGGTCCCCAAACAACTCCTAAAGTAAGACCAAAACCCAAGGCCTGACATAGAAGGCCCAAAGCAATACACCTCTCCCAAAACTTGCAAAGAACTGCCCACCCAGAAATATCCAAAATAAAGTCTGTGCAGACTGTGAAAAGACCGACGGCTCTACCTGCCCTCTCTGTGAACACTGGGGCTGGTGGTCCTCCACGGGGGTGCCCCAGGCAGGGCAGGCTCTCTTCTCAAGGCCAGCAGCAGTGACGGCTAAGAATGGTGGTCCTTGCTGGCAGCTGGGGAACTGCTTTTTCTTCAACTAACAAGACACAGTGGCCTGGCCCAGGGACAGCCTGAGCTCACAGGAGATGCCTCCCAGCCCCAGAGCCAGTGGCATCTCCTACCACACCCACCCATGGCAGGCGGCAGAGATTCCTGGGAAACCAGCACAACTCACAAACATAGATTAGGATGATACAAGGGCTACTTCCGGGGTACAAGATGCCAGCAACGGAAACCAGGCTAGGCAGGGGCAGGGCACAGGAGGCCCGCACAACCACACCTTTTCCAGATTTGCAGCCAAGGCACAAATTGGGGTTTCCTACATGGCCTGTCTCAAATGGTGCCGAGTCCATCAGCAAAGTCCCCAAGGTGCACACGTGAGGCTCAGCTTTCTTGCCTCCGGTCCCAGGCCCAGGACACCCCTGCCCCTTCCACTCCCTGCTCAATGTGGGCCCCCACCAGACCCTACCTTCCAGCTGGGGGACAGCCTGGAGGGGAGTATCTTCGAGGTCCCACATTCTGCAGGTTTAACGTTGTCCTCCCCACCCCCTCCCATTTTCCCTTTCCCTTTTGTCTTCTCTCACAGCTCACCCATACTGAGGCTGGAAGGACTTAGGCCCCCCCACCCCCACCCCTCATTAGTTCTTTTTCTCCAGGTAGTTGGAGGGCACCCAGCCTTTGAAGGGCTTCACCCCGTCCAGGATCTGGCAGTACCACCAGCCGTTGGGGTTCCTCTCCAGGACCTCCATGGACACGCCCTCCTGGAAGCCCGCCGTCTCCTCGTCCCCCTCGTAGTCCGCGATCGAGACGTACACATCTTTGAGGTTGTTGTGGATGAACTGGGACTTCTCAATGGGCTTGGGGCGCACAGGGGACACCGGGATGCCGTTGCGCTGAGTGGGCAGCAGAGGAGGGTCCGAGCCCTGGCTGGCGGCCCGTTCGACCAGGCGGCCCTTGGCTTCTGCGGCTGCCGAGCGGGCAGTGCTGAAGGAGGAGTTCCGGCGGACGCCTCGGAGGCCGTCGGTGGCCGTCAGCGACTCATTCCTCCTCAGGGCACAGGACAGGTTGCTGTCCTTGGGCGGTGGGGACACGAACACCGACTGGGGCCTCACGGCCACCTGCCGCACGCCATTCCTCATCTTCACCGCCCCGGCAGCCGAGGTCTTGACGAAGCCCCCGGGAGGCTTGGAGGGGATGGGCGGCGTGGCCCTCTTGCTCTGGTTGACAGTGTTCAGCGCTTGGACCCGCTTCTCGATCTTTTCGAGGCTGTCTGACTTGCCCTCGTTCTGCTTCTTGCTCTTGGTGGCCACTGTGTCCAGCTCTTTGCCAGGGGGGTCGAATTGCTCGTTCTCACCGAGCACCAGATAGTGGGAGGGGGCCCAGCCCTCCAGCTCCCCGAACCTCACGTACCACCAGCCACTTTCCAGCTTCTCAAGCACCTGCACCTCCACGCCTGCCGGGAAGCTGATCTCCGAGTCCTGGACCTTTTGGTAGGCACTACATGCCGTGTAGGAGGTGGCCTGCCCTTCCCACCCCTTCTTGGTGGGACACGGGGGCGTGGCAGCAGGGAGGGTGATGAGGTCGGCCGAGCCTCTCCTGGACCCCTCACCGGGACCCTCGAAGGCCATCTGGGGCGGCAGCTCCGAATCCTCGCTCTTGGAGCCCTTGAGGCCACCCCGGAGCTGGCCAGTGGGCCTCAGCTGGCGCCGTAAAGTGCTGATGTCCATCTTCTCTTGACTCTGGGACTCTGTGCGGTTCAGGAACGGCTTGGGCCGAACTGATGGCTTGGCCCGGGCACAGGAGGTCAGCCCAGTCTTCAGGTCAGCATCCTTCCTCGCTCCGACCTTGGGAGTGCCGCGGATGCCTGCGTCCGAGGCAGAACGGCGCTTCAGGTCCCCACTGTTCTTGGACAAGGACGAGGAGGAAGAGGAGGAGGAGGAAGAGCAGGTGGTGCTGATGGTGATGGACGAGGAAAAGGAGGCCGAGGAGTGGTTCTTCCCCAGTTCCGCCTGGGCGTTCTTCTCTGCCTTGAGCTTCAAGAGCGACGACGATCTGGGGGAGCCCGATCTGGGGGAGTTTTTCCTGGCAAGGGACGGCGGGGAGCCGCCTGGGGAGTCGCTGTCCCGGGAGGAGCGCCTGGCCGCCAGGGTGTCCTCTGCGCATGCCCGGAAGCCCTCGTTCTCGTAGATGGTCTCCTCCTCCAGGGCCACGTCCTCTGCAGATCCGCCCACCTTGAAGCGGGCGCGCTGCAGCGAGAAGGCGGGCGAGGGCCTGCGGGGCTGGCCGGGCCGCCTGTCCCCCGAGCCGCCGTCCTCTGCGGGCTCCTCACTCAGCTCTGGCTCTGAGTCGAAGCCAAAGGCAGGGATGTCATACTCGGGCTCCTCGTACCTGAGCCTCAGCGGGGAGTCCTGGCTCTCACCAGCACCCGCCAGACCCTCCTCGGCCTCCTTGGGCTTGCTGGGTGGTGCCGGTGGGGGCACCTTGGGCCGCGTCAGAGTGCTCGTGCGGCGGCTCAGGTTGGGCTTCTTGCGCTTATCGATGTACGACGCGGGGGCCCAGCCCTCCTTCTCACCGATCTGCACGTACCACCAGCCACCCGAGTTCTTGTCGATGACCTGGGGGAAGGGGCAGACGGGCCAGTGAGCTGGGAGGATCGCTGGGGCCCTACCATGTGCCAGGGTGGGAGCTTCACACTTTGGTTCTAGGAGACATTATCTCCATTTCCCAGATGAGTGAACTGAGCCACTGAGTAAGTGGCCCGGGACCCGACGTAGGAAGTGATGGGCTGGCATTCAAACCCAGGTCTCCATCATCTCCTGGATGGGGGGGCTCCCACTCTCCAAGGCCCCCTCTCCTGCTCTTCCAAGTCTCCTCCAACGCCCTGGTCGAGCTGGCCTCCTCTCCAGACCCTCACTTCTCCCGCTGAGCTGCTACGCTTGGAAGATGCGCTGTTCCCAGTCCCTACAAAATCCCGCTCACCACGGACCCAGACGTACAAAAGACTGCCATTCCACCACTTCCATCCTCTCACCCCCATACTGCTAGGCCCTCCCTCGGTGACCCTGGAAAGGGTCTCTCAGGGCAGAAGAGAATAGAAGGGTGGAGGCACCTGGAGGTAAGGCTGAGGCCGGACCTCCCTGGTTTCCCCACTGCTCACGGTCATTTCACTACATGTGGAATCTCACTGAAATCCTACCAGCTGAGGAGATTTCTTTGAGTTGAATGGCTTCCTGGGGGAAGGCTAGGGCCTCTCAGTCATTTCCCTGTTAGTATAAACTCGTTCAAGGAGCTTCTTTCTTAACTGCTATTTGAGACTGGAGAGAGCCCAGGAGTGTGGTTGCTGGCTGTACTGAGGTCCGTTTGGACCGGGGAATACGAATGGAAGAGGCAGTTGTCCTTCCATGTGCACAGGTTCCGCATCCCTGGATATGGAGGGCCAACTGCACTACGATTTTAGTGCGATAAGGGCCTTGAGCATCCCAGGATTCGGGTGTCCACTGGGGGTCATGGAACCAATGCCCCACGGATCCCGAGGAACAACTGTAATTTTGAATTGTGGAACACTGCTGGAGGAAGAGGTCCCAGGGAGGGGAAGGGAAGCTTGAAGGCACCGGCACTGGGGGAAGAGGGGCAAGGAAGGGAGGATAGAGACCACCAAAGGCAAGGTCTGCCTGAGGCCAGCCCTCTGCAGCCCCCGCCCTGCCTTGGGTGCTATATTCCATCCTTCACTCTGCCCACTCCATACTCAAAATGCATACGTGGGTAGATCCTAAGTATGTCAGTTCTCTTACATTATGAGCTTCATAGGCTCTTCTGGAAGCACAAGCACCACTGAGAGAATGAGTTCTCTTAGATATTTAGTTCTAAGTTCCAGGCATGTGGTTTAAAACATTCACATTGGGGATATCACCTCTTCAACGGGCAGAAACTGCCCAATTACTCTTCTGATGGTTTTACAGGTATTAATTGGACTTAACTCCTGTTACTACACAGAGCCACTCAAGAGAAAGATCTGAGTCACAGATCCTCTCTGGCCCCTGGAATGCCATGTTCAGCACTGGCCACAAAGTGGGGTTTCGTAAATGCTAGGAGACCGGCTGGGAGGGAGCAGGAGAGGGTCTACTACCCATTTGCGGAGAGAAATCATCAAAACCTGGGGGAGAAGTGACTGCATCAAATGTCAGAGGTGCCTGTGGTGTGGACATGGCCAGAACTGGGGTCCTCAGTGCCTTACTCCGGCTGCCTGGACCACATTCTCCCAACAGCAGCACTTCCTAATATGGGTCTTGTGGAACCCCGGCCCCCAGGAGCTCCTGGGAGAGGAATCTAGGTGATACTGCCTATTCCAGTCCCCTCTTAGAGACACACAGTGACACCCCCATATCTAGGCTCTGAGAAGTTCTGCAATTAAAACAACAAAGCTGGTTGGGTTTTGTTTAACTCACTGTCCTCCAAACTCATTCAACCCCAGAGGCCCTTTGTTTCAAAGTGCCCCCGTCACAAGCTCCTATAATATGCTTTGGGAAATGCTGCTGTGACGGGAGCTGGGTGGAGACATGAGCCGTGGGTTCTAGTCCTGGCTGTGGCACTTACTGGCTTTAGGCAAATTCTAATCCCTGTGGGTCCTGTTTCTGCACCTTTCGCGCCCGCCCCTCAGGAATGTCGCCAGCAAGACATAAATGGGAAACACGGGAGGTATTTGACCATCATGAATTATAACCCTCAGCCCCATGGCCCAAGGCTCACCTCTGCCTTCTGTCCGCCTCGAAAACTGATCCCATCAGAAATGCACGACTGGAATTCGGCAATGGTGTAGTACTCCACCTCAACAGAAGGGGGCTCTGGTGGCTTAGGCAGCTGGAACCCCTGCGGCACAGAAGGACTCAAGTCAGCAAGACTCACCTAATCAGAACCGTAACTGAGGTGAGTGTGGCGGCTACACCAAGTGAAGAGCAGCTGACTTGAGGATCTATCAATCACCTGAGTCTCAGGGTGGCTCACCAAGAGACCACTCTCCTGACTCTCTCCAGGCTCTCTAAGAATACCTAGGATTCGCTTGAGACTTGTCTGAGCTATGAAAATGATCATCTAAGTAAATTTCCACCCTTACATCTTTGGAATCCGGTTTTCAGAAGCCTCAACAGCTAGGTCCCAAAATGAAAGTCAAAAGCAGAGAAACTGTTGTAACGAAGCCCGTGCACACTGGCCCCTGGGAGAGGAGAGCCATGTCCTTGAGTCTCAGGTGAAGGGCCACCGGGGTGACACCTGACTGCAGAGGTGGGCTGGGTGTAAGGGGGTGTGGGGTTGGTCAGAAAACCCCTTGTCTGTCATCATGATGATGCCAAATGGTTAGGCAAGCACTGAATAAACTCAGGATCCTTTGCTCTGGGGTTGGGTAGAACACGCTGGGCAGCCTAAATGCTTCCTAGATGCTGGCACGTCGATAACTATGCCTGACATGCAAGGAAATGTAGAATACGGCCACAGCCCATGAGCTGTGAGCCTCATTCATTCACTTGACAAATGTTTGTTGTGTGTCTACTGGGTGCCAGACTCTGGTCCAAGGCACCAGGCATCCAAGAGTGAACCAAAGGGACAGGACAACCCCCTTGCCCTCGTGGAGAGGACATTCCAGCTTCAGCCAGTCTCTACTCCAGCCAACATGGCCTTGGCGCCTCCCCATCACTCCCAGTATGGCCTGGTATCAAACAAAGGAGTTAAAATAAACAATCCTATAAAAAAGGTACACGTGCTTGGGAGGCTAGAGGCGGGAAGCAGCTACAGTGTAGCAGGAAGACCTCAAAAGATCTCTGCCTGCAGGTGGACGCATGTGGGCTCCAATCCCAGCTCAGCGATTCACCAGTTGTGTGGCCCTGGGCAAGGCCCTTGCTCTGAGCCTCAGTTTCCTCATCTGTAAAATGGAACTAATAACAGGGTCATGAGATAATGAACATAACTTCTGGTCCAGCCAATGGCACAGGAAAAGCTCTATAAACATAAGCTGAAGCCGAACGCTCTTCCTGAAACGCCATCCTATTCCTCTTACCCTGCCTCGTCCTTCAAGGCTCAGCATGTTACTATCCTGCCAGTCACAGTTGAGCTGCCTCAGGTCAGAGTGAGTGAAGGGTGCGGGGGAGGCTGGTTTTGAGGGACCAGGTCAACTTTCCCTGCCCTGGTGGCTGGCTCTGCAGCCGTGCATGCGCACAGATGTGGCCCAGGTCCCAGCCCTGCCTGGACCCCCGCGGCCAGGTGGGAGTCGGACGGACCTAGCTGGAAGGAGCAGCTCTGCCCTAGCAAGCCCTGCTTTTGGCAGGTGTGGAAAGAATTACCCCATTCTTGCCAAAATCAAGTCTGCCTGAAAATAATCAGCTGGGGCAGAGAGAGATGGGGGGAGGGGAGAACTCGTTTAGTTGTGTAAAATGGGAGGAGAAACAAAATAGAAAACTCCACTGGGGCTGATGGCCAGGGCCAGGACGGTCCCATCTCCAGGGGCCAAATCTTCAAAAATCCTGTTTAGGGAAGGCCAACTCTTCCAGTGACTGCTGCTGTCCGCCCCCCTGGGGTGGATGTCACTGACCACAGTAAATCTTGCTGCTAAGCCCAGATGTGACTGCAGAATCCTTGTCCACACATAGTGCACAGAGAGCTGACAGAGGAAGTGGAAAGTCGATGGCCAGCCCTCTGCATACACCACCTCATCCCATCCTTACAACAGCCCTAGGAGATGGCTGGCACTGTCCCCCTCTTATAAATAAGGAAACTAAGGCCTCTGGAGGGTAAGCAACCTGGCCAGGGGCTCGCTGTTTCTCAGTGTCAGAAACGGAGTATGAATCCACGCCTGGCAGGCCTGAAGCCCCATTCTTTCCACTGCATTCCACTGCCCCAGATGACAGTTCTTGGTTCTAGGGCTCTCGGTCTGCCACCTCTCACCCAAAGCCCCAGCACCCTGAGTGCACGTCCACCTCCGTGGCGGTCTGGATGCCAGGAAACCCCCACCTACAGGCGCCACAGACCCCAGCAGCATTGAGCCTCTTTGAGTTTCCGCATAAACCAGTCCCTGCCATTTACCACCCTCCTCCCCGGAGAAGATGCTCACTGGCCTGCCCTGTGCCCTCCCAGGTTCTGGCATCCACTGGGCACTCCCGGGCAAGGAAGGCAAAGCTGAAAGTCTTCCAGGCTCACATGGACAGCAGCCCTATTTCCTGCCCCTGGCAATGCCCCAGCTGGACACTCTCGCCAGCCAGTCTAAATGTTTATGTCTGCCAGTGCCGTGGCTGGGATGGATTTATTTAGCTTCAGAGTGCAGTGTGTTTTCGATTAAAAACTGTCCAGCTAGGCCCCAGGAAGGCTGGGTTCCCCAGGCTTCCCTCCCTGCCTCCAGCCCCACAAAGCTGGAAGCTCCAGCATGGTCCTGGGGAAGCCCTGGACCAACAGACTCCACACTGAGACAGCAAATTACTGCGAGCTGCTACGGGGCACCCAGGAAAGGGAATGAGAAAGAGAGAAGAAACTGAGCACACATACCAAGCTGGACTCTCTGCGAGGTGGAGGCCTTGTCCTGAGGTTCGGGGAGCCTAGAAGAAACAGGGCTTCAGAAATCGCAGCCAGACACAGCGCCTTCCCTCGCCTTCCCTGGGTGTGACCTCTTGATGCTGGGAAGTTCCCGCCCTTTTCCAGCATTTATGAGGAACCCACGCTCTCGGTCACCACAGGCACGACGGCTGGGCTTCTTCAGGGGAAGTGAGAGATCTTTAAGCTTCCTTAGCTGTGTTGCAAGGGGATCCGTGAGCCCCCTAAAATGATGCGCACATTTCAAAATGTACAGACATAGGGGCTTTTTTCAGGGGAAAGGGTAGATAGCTTTAGCAGATTTCCAAATTTAGGAGAAGAGACCATGTCTATTTTTTGCTCACTACCAAATCCTTGGAAGCTAGCACAGTGCTAGGCAAGAGGAAGTACCCCCAAAACAGCTCCCGGCTGACTGCTCAGAAGGTTCCAGGCATAAAGCTAATGTAACCAAGCTCAGAACTAAACTAAAAAACAGCTTTCCTCCAGATTTTAAGACTGGCTGGACATAAACAGAAGCTGGTCTCATAATACAGAACAGTTTAACCCTCAACCGCAGGCATCCTTGCCCCAGAGATGCTAGAGATCCGGAGGGGCCAGCAGCTGGGTTTCTCCTGTACGAAAGGAGAATGCTGCTTAAAAGTGCTCGTGGAGGGAGGTACAGTCACCCTTCCGAGTGTCTTAGATTTCCGGTAACTGGAGGAAGACAACAGGGAAGAAGGGGTTAAGGCTCAGCAAGATGATCTACGGGCTGTCACTCACAGAGCAGCCTTGCATCGAGGGAACCATCTCGAAGCCCAGGTGACTTATCTGCAGGGTGACCATTCATGGCTCCCCACTAGAGGAGGAGGGACTGCTACCAGCTTACATATGCATATGCAATTTATCTTCTGTGGAGGAGCTGGAAGGAATTGCCTTATCCATGCTTGTGATTAGCATAAGACAAGCTGGCAAAGCGAGCCTGGGGGCAGGGGTCAGCCTACATCTCAGGAAGAGAATAATATGGGGATCATGCACACACACACACCCCCTTAGGCTTTCCTTGCACCTCACGCCCCTTCTCTAAAGAGCTGTGCGGCAAGGATCCGGGGATCAGCGAGGCTCTTACTGATCTGGGCCCTCTGAGGGGCGATCCTGGCCACGGCTGGGGAGCCCGGGGCCAGCTTGGAGACGGTCCTCTCGGGGACACCCAGGGCGCTGCCGTTGGAAGCATTGCAGAGGATGGGCAGGCTGATCTCCTTCTTGGTGATGGGGGCCTCCGGGCCCTCGCCTTCAGCTGGGGTGGTCTCCTTGTCCCCGGACGCCTTTTTGTT